GTATCATCATCATCATCAAGTATCATTGTCATCATGATCATTATCAAGTGTCATCAACATTATCAACATAATTTTCAAGGATCATCATCATCAAGTTTCATCGTCATCATGATCATTATCAAGTGTCATCATATTTATCAACATCACTATCAAGTATCATCGTCATCATCATTATAATCATAATTTTCAATTATCATCCTCATCATCAAGTTTCATCGTCATCATGATCATGATTATTATCAAGTTTCATCATATTTATCAACATCATTATCAAGTATCATCGTCATCATCATTAACATCATTATCATAACTTTCAAGTATCATCATCATTATCAAGTATCATGGTCATGATTTATCATTGTCATCATCGTCATCATCATAATTATTAACATGCCAGTTCGGGTAAACTTTTACCTTGTTGTGTGTACTGTTTGGCAGGCTTGCTGAACGACAAACTCTGTCCTGCTCCATTCTTTGACCTCACAGAAAACGAGTACTCTGTTTTGCTGTACAGGTGTTTGAAGGTGAACGTCAAAACGTTTCCAATAATATTTTGATGTTTACCGACTTTGTCACCACTGTCAGATACACTTGTCTTGCCCCAGGAGATCTAATTCATAAAACAATAGTAATAAGCAACTATTCGTCGATTGATAATGATAATGATTTAAATAATGATTTATGATTTGTATAGCGTCCTTTCTAAAAGATATAATCAAAGGCGCTTTACATTGAATTGTGAATAACAGATTGCTTTATGCAATTTACAAGCATGAGAGATGGTTAGTATGAAGTGTGGGCACTGAGGGTGGTCACTGCCAGGGTTTCTTTACGTCCTCCGTGGTTCTTTTACGTCCCTCCTATGTTGGTTAGTAATGATGAGTGTAGAGAGACGGGATCGACATTTAAAGTGGTCATCCGAGCCACTTGAAAGTCTAACCATTTGCAGATGTACTTACAAAGGCAGCACTTTCTCCTCAGTTATTTAAAGACCCTGAGTGTTGGTCTTGCTGGGACTCGAACCACGACCTCCCGCACGAAAGTCCGATATTCAACTAACTGAGTCAACCGGTTGGCGGTTCACGTTACATCATTGCGGCCTCTCGGGGGAGCGTTGGTGCCGTTTAACAAAATATTCCTTATTAGCATCCATTGCCAACGGCAGCAATACGGCCGCCATGTTTTTTTGTCTTTTGACTCTCTTGGAAATGCTTGCAACTCATCAATTCCAGAGAAGGGTGAATAACAGTAGTGCACTTAACTCGTACATCAAGTATAAGGGAATTAACAGACAGACAGACGGGGGGGCAGATACAAAATAACAGACAGACAGAAAGACTTAAAACAAGACCAAAATAGAAACACAGAGAAAAAGACATACACGAAGAAAAACAACCAATAATCCCCTTGCATGTGGTGTCAAATGAGCTCACTTTGGAGGACAAAACAAAATAATCTCCTGAGAATTAGAAACCTATTGTAATGTCCTCCAAATTGCTGCATTATTATTTGCTACAAGGGTTCTCATACACGACTTTCAAAAATGGCCGCCAAACTCGGTTGGGACTAGGGACAATTGAATGTAAAGCGAGGTAAGGAAGGCCTCATTAGTAGTCTCGACTCAGTACGATATTTTGTGTCAAAGTCATTCACCCTTACTTCAAAAGACGCTTAAAAGAACTCGAATTGGTGAGATGAATGACTTTGACACGAAATGCCGCACTGAATAGACTTAGTTTACTAATGAGCCCTTACTTACCTTCCATTCAATTGTCCCTAGTCCCAACCGCGTTTGGCGGCCATTTTTGAAAGTCGTGTATAGCGTTATCAATAATAACATTATGTAGTTACCATATATCCAGTAATTTTCCCGTTGGGCTTTTGTGGCTGTGACCATGATAGGCGGATCGTGTTAGATTCTGGTTTGACCAACTCCGCGGTAACAAACTTTGGAGCATCGGGGACTGGAACAGACAAGATGTAACAAATAGTGTCAAACTAGCACAGGCAACCCACGCATGGTAAACCTGGAAAATCGCTGGACAGATTTTTTCGTTTGGTGACAAAAAATAATTATTTCTAACCCTACTGAAAAACCGCCGTAAAAGTTAAGTGCAAACCTGTCCAAACCAAATATAATCAATCAAAATCAAGCTTTCAAAAAGAGTTATGTGCTTGCTTTCGATCAAAATAAAAATTAGGAATCGGGAATTTTTATTTTTATTTTTTTTAATTATTGGCAAGTCTTTTATTTTAACACATGCGCTCTTATACTGGAAATCCAAGAAATCCTGGTCTCAAAAAATGGATTATGCCAGAGCCCTCGTTCTTCGCTGCAGGCCTGAAGAATCGCAGGCTCTGGGTACGAGATTGCACTTACTTTCTTCTTGTGTCATGGCACTGGCTCTATCACTCGGTTTACTAACACCAGCACTATTATTAGCCACTATTATGAACTCATATCTTGTGTATGGTTCAAGACCGGTGACCTCGTATGACGTCTTGGAGGGAGGGACTCCAATTGGTTTTTTCGTTGATGGCGGTAAAAGCTGAGAAACAGATAGCAAAACATCAGAAACACAAACAAACCAGTAAATATAGAACCTAGTATTGGATAGACCAAGATGATGTTGACTCCTTTCAAAATAGAACGTTTGCACGATAGCCTCATTGACATCTACTACCAGACTCCCTTGCACACTTTCTTTTGTTCAGTTAATTAGTACCAATTGTCTTACTATTCTCATGAGGGAATACAAATTTAAGAATTTTGCGAAGCATTACGGTAGTTGGAGTCAAATGACGCCATCATGCAAACGGCCTTTGATCTATTATCCTATTAACATAAATTCTATAGAGAAAAAGAGTGATTTCGATCTCTAATATCTTGCTAGACTTATATCCAAAACAATTTATTTATATTATTTCAAAATAATGACTTCTTTACCTTGGGAGTTGTGTTTCCATATTTCAGACCACGTGTCATTCTCTTGAGAATAAAATTCTTTGTTTGAGTTGCATGCGCATACGTGTCTTCTCATGCGCAACAGTTAAACAAAGAAATAATACTATAGGGAATGACAAGTGGTCTGAGATAGAAAGACATTACAACTAAGGTAAAGAGGTCTATTTTGCAAGGGATGATGTATCGCGAGGAGAAAACTAAACCTGATAGATGGCATAGTTGAGGAGTTTGCCATTGGGAGATGACGGAGCCTCCCAACGTAGCATAATGATGCGAGAAGTCTTTGCTGTGGCAGTGAAGCTTCTTGGGCTTGTTGGCACTGGAATAAAAGATATTTAACTAGTTGACATATGACTATCATCATCATCATCATCAACAACATTATCATAACCATTACTATAATTTTTATCATTAGCAGCTGCAAGATTCCGATCATCCTCATCACCATCATCATCACCATCATCGTCGTCGTCTCCATCAGCATCAGAATCATCATCTTCCCCACCGCCATCATCACCATCATCATCATCATCAGTCATCATCGTCGTCATCATTACCATCGGTATCATCACCACTATGTCATCACCATCATCATCACAATAATCATTTCCAACATCATCATCACCATCATCACCATAATCATCATCGTTACCATCACCACAATCACTAACAACACCTTGATCATTACACTACAGTAATTATAAAATTTACGATATTTAGAAGATGTTGCACTACGTACTGTCAAATACTATCTACTTTTAATCTATTATTTGGTTCAAGACAGATGACTTACACATAACCCTAACGGTGATGTATAAGCTAGCTTTGGGTCCTTCTCCCATGACGGAGTACGCTGATACTTTGAAGTTGTAGGTTTGCCCTGGATTGAGATTGCAAAGGAGCTTTGTCTTCTCGCTTGTCGTGGACCTTAGTTGATTGTTTACGTATAATTTGTAACCCTGGTTTTAATAAAGTGCAAACATTTCATCAGTTTAATAGAGTTTAATGTAATTAGCCATGTACCAATAGCCATCCCGAGGTTGAGGGAAAAGCTTGGTCGAGTAGACATTGCAGTACATTGTGGAACTCTTTCGGAGGTCATTTCCAAGATGGTGACTATTTCCTCCCCAATGTTTATCAACAAATTTGTGAAAATAATACCAAATTTATTTTTTACTCAAGCTAGACCACAAAGTACCATGCTCGTCTATCTTCCTGCGACCTCCATAGTTTTAAATATCCGAGTGTTTGGTTTCATTTAAAAAATACTAACTGGTCGACAGCTCTAATTTGATGGACTTGAACGAAGAGGCACGCAGTGCGAGTTATTCCTAAAACAGGCTCGTAGACAAGCAGCGATGCTGAGGGTGCAGGGGGTGGGGGAGTAAACTTTATAGCAAAGGAATTGACGATAAGTATGTCACATTGCTTTGTATGCTAAAAAGGCCTACCTTGGCTGGGAAGAGACGCTGTTTGTCGGCGCCCATATATGGTGCCTCCCACATCAGAAATACACAAGTCCCGTTGTTCGTGAACTGCTTGAAATTACGTGGTGGGTAGCCTGGTTCTGGAAGCGAAAAGAGAGAACATTTTCAGACATAAATTTAGTCTATTTATTTATTGCCAGAACAATATAGGTGAGTCTTTAGTTTTTTTTATTATTACAGTATTATCATTTGGGG